ATACTACGTTACTTTCTCTCTTTGTCCGTAATATCTTTGATTGTAGCTCTATGTTGTTAGAATATTCGCGAAGGTTCCTTGTCGTTACCACGACCCCAACCACGGATCGCCTACGACAATGGATGTTTTGCTAAGAGAAGTTATGTTTGGGAAAGTGTTACGGAAGATGATAGTTGAAGCAATGATTGTTTGTACTAGAAGCTAGTTGCAGCGGAGATGTTTGCAGGTTTGAGAAATCACACTAGGGGGTGTTCAATGTTTGGAACTAAGAGGTGGCACACGGAGAATGTCACACTACAATGATTGGGAAACAAACGATGGTTCAGCTCGGGTTAAGGATTGCAGGCGAATGAATGAGAAGCGTGTAAGAGGATGAGACGTGCGAAACGGATTGAGGGATGATATGTCTTGAAGGATGTTCGGAAGTGTGGTGTGGAAGGAAAAAGAGCATGAGAAAAAGGGAAGAAAAAGAGTCTCACGAAGTGGAAGAAGACTTTGTTCCATAGTTAGAAATCGTGTATATATAGTACGCTGCTGGCAGCACAGAAAAGAATAAGGACCGCAAGACATTCTCCCCTCTACCCATCGTAGCCTATTCATTTTATATGTGACCTCTCACAAACGAGTATCTTCTCAACCTGATGTGAATAATATTTTGTCTCCATAATTCCGCGGGATGTAATTATGTCGACTTCCTTTTCTGCTAAATTACAGTAGCTAACGGGTTCATATCTAACTACGGGAATGCAACTTCGGTAAATTCTGCTTTGCTTCATGTACTATTGTAGAGGAATCTTGTCTAAGGGGATATGATGCGCTTAGATACCCCTCTCATGAATAAGATAATTGTTTGCTGATCACCACCATTGATCGTATATCTTGACTGCCTCGGAATCCTGATTCTAAAAATAGAGATGGATTAAAGCAATAGAGTGAGCATCTTGGTTATTGGTAAATAGTACCCGTGGCAGCTGTAATTCTCTGACCCTCCAAAACCCTCTTCAGCTCCCCCGGTGGGAAGCCAGTACTCGTAGGGTGCCCACTGTTGTGAGCGGGCAAGGATCCATGGGTTGAGACATATAGTCACCTCCTTGGCACGAGTACAGCTTACTACAATTGCCTCACCATCACCACCTCTGTTAGTGCAAGATTGTGCTAGTATCGTAGACCACACCCGTTGTTCGTCATGTAGGCAAGGCGACAATTCTACAAATATGAGAAGCACTACTCCTTTCCCCACGACAACGAGTTGCACAAGCCATTGAAAAAAATAGCAAAACATCTGGAAGCCGTACTGGAAGACTAAATGGTTTTTTGGGTTTGATAATTACTCTCACGCCGCCGGCTCCTTCCCGAGCCTATTCAAAGAAACGGAGGGACTGACCTAGCTTCCGATATAGGTTACCGAATTTCTCATTGTTGCCGATACTGTTTAGGGCATTTTGCTTGTTGACACCGCTATCTGGTTCTTGAGATCGAGGGTAGGATTTCCTGGTTACTAAGGGAGCCTAGAATTGCGGAGGGTGGAATGTAGTAGAATGGGAGTTTGTTCCGTGCGATCGATTGAGACCTTTGTGCTATATGATTTGAGTAGGCTTTGTAAGAATTTGATCTCAACTATGATGGATGTTGCTTGAGTACCCCACCTGATTGTTCTGAAGCATCGGTGGAGAAACGAGTGGTGAGATGGAAGGGAAAAGGTGACCGCTTAATGTGGTAGAATTTTGATGGTGGACGGCGCAAAATATTTCTAGACTTTTATTTGGTGGATTGGGGAACGGCAGCGACCCGTACGACGATTGCGAGAATGTGCTTATCTATTTTTTATATCGGGTGGTGTTAGATATAGTGCCGACGGAGATGAATATCAACGAATCTACACTCTACACACCGGACATGACAATATCACAGAGAATAGTGTAAGGGCCAGTTTCAAGTCTCCCCCTAATAGTGGAATTATAGTGCGGGTCACATCGGACACAGCCACTGATGAAGTATCTGTAGACTCAGGGTAAATAAACTCCCAAATCATAAACCAGTTAATGGATATCAATGCTGCATAATGTCAGTGTTGGTGAGACATATTTTCCAAACACTGACTAGAGAGAAAGTCCGAATAAAGTTTCATAACTAAATCAAATGTTCAGAGTGGTTGGAAGCATTGCCGCAGAGATAGGGCTATGAAAAACGCACAGGAGTTTAAGGACACAGGTTGTGCTGTTCTATATTCGCTCACGGTCTTCGCGATAAAGTCACCATTTAGAAAAGGCACTGTGTTCTGCTTGATTATGCTCCTGTATAGTGATACAGGCTCTACACTCTAGGGGGTACAGGGGTCAGGGTTAAAGTATTCGTACACCAAAGCAGCTTACCAGCAAAAAATCCCAAAACAGGTGGGAACACAAACTGGTTTTTTCGAAAGCGAAATGCCTTCGCCTCCTATGTTAGTACTAATGGGATCTTTCTACCGTCATCCGCAGGGCCTGGCTGTCCGTCCCGAGCATCATCCAATGCACCGCTATCCACCCGGTCCGGACAGAAAGACGGACGGACTAGACGGTTGGGAACAATGAGAGTTCCTTCTTCGCACTCATCCAAGGCATCTACCACACAGGTTACATGTCTGCCCCCCCCTTAGGTTACTGTTTTAACCGAAATATCCCATAGGGTATCCACCTTCTCCCCAATGCTCTTTCCTTTGTCCTTAAATGCTTTCTCGGGATACCTGTAGAACGAATCTCTCCGACTAAAAAGCCGATAAAGTATTGCCGATAGAGCAAATTTTGCACTCTTCTGCTCATTGCGGTCGTCCTTCAAAAAGAAATAGCAAACGGTAGAATGAGTATGTGGGGCGAGATGCGTTACGGGGAATGAAACGGTGACCGATTTTCCGCAACCAGGGTCTGCCGATATCCACAAGAGACCAGATGTTTGTTTCCCAAGCCAGTCCCTATACTTTGGATGTTCAGCCATCCAGACAAGTTCCCTTGGTCGGCTCCCGTATGCGATGTCGATGTAAGTAGTATTTCGATGTCTACAAGCATCTCAAATTTTCGGAGTTGCGCAGAGGCAAGTTCAAGTTGCAGTAGTAATTGTTAGCTGTATTGATAGAATTCTTGTTACCAGAGTTCGTAATACCGGAGTTTGTGATGTTTGAACCACTGTTGTAGTTATAATCGCCGCGGATATTTCCGTAGGCGGTCGAGCCAGAAGTATAGTGATTAACGTCAGTAATTGAAGGTGCCATTGTATACGGAGGACAGTTTCCGAGCATACCGTGGGGGTGAGGGAATATCCTTGAAAGAAGTGCTTTTTCGTTTACCGCTTCAGTTATCGATCTATTCTTGGGTTACAAAAGTCAGTGCTCTATCGACGTGAGAATTGGGTAAGGTTTTTGATATTGGGAAAGATAATATTCGCACAAGGTGGGGAAGAGTGGAGGATAGATAATAGTGGTGAGCCCTGGTGAATACCCTTCTTCAAGAGCGAAATTTCGAAGAATACTCTTGTCGAATAGGCTTTACGATACTGTACCCCCCGGTCAGCAGAATGGCGTACGAGCGGAAGCCGGTAGTACTATAAGTCCGCTTGACTTGCCAATTAAGCCTGATACTACGCTATTTTTTTGAGAGGTTCCCCGTTAATAACCTGAAATACTGCCGATTTCCCATTTAGAAATTTCCGGTGCGCATCGTACGTGTTATTTTCGAAAAATATCACAGCCCGGAATCACAGACCGGTGATCTATACACTCGACAAACTCGTTATACAGTCCAACTAAATCTCTATGGTTTCATGCTCCTATTTGATGGACCTCTGGCGCCCATGCTCATATCCTACTCGTGTACTGTATGTGGTCCTGGAACGAGCATTGCTACTTTATCCGTGCTTCCTTAATGCAAGTAGCGAAGTGTCTGAATTCACTGTTGCGGAATGGGCGATTGGGCAATGGAGTCTAAACCTGGTTTTGCCAATACCCACAACACCCGGCGGTAGTGTTGTGTTGTGGAATTCTCAGCTAGCCATGAACAGAAATATTTTCCCCGCATGCAAAACCATATTCGTAGCCTATCGGCCTGTGATCCTTCACTACGTGTGCCGACATGTATTTTTTCTTTTTATTTGTCTCTACTCAAGGCTGAAAAGCAATCCTTTGGCTTTGTCAGTTTTTCCCCCGAATCCGAAGGGGGAAATTTGATGAAAATAATAATTGGGGTAGAATCTGATCCTGTATTGCCGCTCACTCATCTCAAAACATCTGGGGCCATGGCTGCCCTTAAGTACAAATAACCGTACTCACTATCTGTGTCTGTTCTGACGCTATTACATCATGTCTACCATTTTACATAACTTCCACCTGTCCTTTCCAAAACCTTACAACGTCTACTACCGCAATCACATCACCAATACATAGTGCTCAGTTCTCACTTTCTCCATTGTCACTTGCCTGCGCACATTCCTCCCCTTTCTGGTGATTGTACCACGTTGCCACAATTCTCACTATTCCCAAACGACCAGACATGTCTCCCTAATGAACACCTTGCCACAAATACCGTAGCCGGATCATCGGTATGCACCAGTGATTAACAATAAAATTCACGACGTCCTAGCGCCATCCCCAATTATTTTCATTTTCACGGTACGCAGGGGGCGTTGGGATGAAAGTTTACAATTAGCATAGGGGAATATAGTAAAATGCGGTGCTCTTGAGTAGGATACTGGGAGGGGTGTTAGAACTTTATGGACGTGGGTGTCCTCTCATGTCAGCTACCGTGCCGGAGGTTGTGGGTAAGCCTGTCGAACCTCGCATTATCGGCTCCCTCCTTGCCCATTCAGAGAGCAATATCTGCTCCAGGTATCATACTGCGCCAAGAGCTCGACAGACTTTTTCCTTCACTTAATATCGAATAATATTCTCTTCCTTCACCAAATTGAGTGAAAATCAACCAATTATATGCTCGGGCGGCGTTTCCTCACCATACAAACTCGGTCTATGAGAGTCAAGTTCGACAGACTTTATTGCCCTTTCTCTCTCTCTCTAACTTTTAGATTATTACTAGTCAAACGGACTATCATACTTATAATACTATCGGGTCGCCTTGGGCTTTTTAGCCTCACGCCGCCCCCCAAATAAACCCCCGGCGTACAGGCTCTAAACCAACCCTTGTCATGAAACACTTCCCTTTCCCTAAACTCTCTTTTCCCCCTTATCCATTCCTCAAACCCTCAACAACCCCTCTCCCTTCCTCGTTCTCCTTATCGGTTATACCACTTACAATGGGTGATATCCCCTCTAAGGTCAACCTCTTCTTATCCCTATTCCTCTTGGCCCTCACCCTTGCCCCCAGTGACGCCCTCTTTCTACTCTCCTTATTTCTCCCTTATTCTCCGCTCCCACCCACAACTTTCCAAAAATGAAGACGTCTCCCCTGCCCAAAGGCTCGGGTCCTTCGTAGGCCTTTCTTTTGATCAGGCTCAAGCTGCCTGTCCCTTTCGGGAGTCTCCAGTGGTGCTAGCGAGCCATGGAATCCTTTCATCCTCTTTAAACCAGAGTTCGGGAATGGCGCACCTCTGCAAGCATCGGCATCACCACCCCTGTCCGCGTGGAGGATTTTACTCAGAACCGGAGAGACTCTCCCACCAGCACAGGGAGGCTCGCAGAGTGAAAGCCGCTCACGGGCACTCCTGCCTTCTGCCCCCTAGGGGGCCCCAATGTGCCACATTTTCCTTTGCTCCTTAAGCCTCATCCCGGGTGAACCAGGTAACGCTTTACGTACACACCCTCGCCCCGTAGGATCCCAGAGTTGGGTGACGCTCTCCCAATTGGAAGGTCTGCCCTGTGCACGGCATGTCGTCAAGAGACCGACACCAGCATCCGTCCTGTCGTGCCCCTGTAGTCTCTTTGGCACTGGCCAATCGCACGAGATCTACAAGACCCAGCCCCAGCCCGATTAAGGACCTTCGCTATGCCGCAGGTTCCCATTGGTGCGACACTGGAACCATAGCCTACGGTGTCTTGCTCGCCTCCCATCAGCGAACTAACCAAACGGGGTTTCGACCACTCCCCGCCGAGAGGTGACCTGTCGAAGCGCTGGTAATATACACTTACCGGGGCATGCCGTGACATGCTTACCGGGGGCCGGTTTACTCCGGCAGCGTCCTCGTCGGTTGGTTTTCAGGAGAGACACGCACACTGTTCCTCTCTTCCGAAGTAAGGGATCGCCCCCTACCCGGCTGTGCGCACCCTTTGGCTTCTCCTAGCCCCCTTATAACTACCCCTCTCCTCCCTTAACAATTCCCCTAATCCCTCCATCTCCGGTTCTGTCACTATAACCGCAACCACAATCCTTCGCCCAACCCTAATGAAATTTCCTCCTTCCCACCAACCACCCCTACGCTACTTCTCCCATTCCCCTTACTCGCATCACTTAATCCCACAAACCATACCCATTCTCCCTCCTCCCCCTCTCATACCTCGCCTTCAGCCTCTCCCTATCAACCCCCACCTCCACTTTCCATACCAATACCCCATCCCTCTCCCTCTCCACCTCCCATCTCTCCCCTTGCAGCCTATGCTTCTTTACCCTCTTCAACATTCTACCCGCCCATCCACCTTCATATACCCTACTCCCCTCTCTTCCTCTGACCTCCACTCCTCCCCATAACGTTCTATTCTACCTCCGCTCTCCTCATCAATCTCATCCCCCACCTCTCTACCCTCTTGTCCAACTCCCACTCCACCCTCTTCCTCTCCATGTCCCCCAACAACGCGTCCACCGGCGTACTTTTCACTGCGCTCAACATCCTCCTCAGCCCCCTATTTATCCACGTCTGCAACCTCTCCTTCAACCTCACCTGCCCTTCCCAATAAAATTCCACCCCATACAATAAACACTTCACCGACACCGCCCTGTAAATGATACCCAACCCCCACACCACGAAGGTTCGACAGACTTTTGCACACACCCTAAGTGCATGCATATGCGTTTCTTTTCTTGCTGGCTGGATAATGCGGTTGGTGAACTTTTGGGGACAAGGGTGCTAGAGCTAGGGTTATGCCACTACGGCAGCCAGGTGGTTAGTTAATACTGCATCAATCGGCTTCTATCGCGACAAGCGCAGTGCAATTATGCGCGATGCACAAAAATCCTCGGATTCGCGTGATCGCTGGTCATATCATGCGCGAGGAATGCATCACCGCAGGACAAGGATGTGGAAAGGGGCGTGCCAGTGAAGAAAGTGCCGTAGCGGGACACTGGATTCCTGGGGGTGATAGAAGCTATTATCTACTCGGGTACGCAATGTCTGGAATTTTAACCGTTTTTGGGAATTTGCATGCTGTTCCGAATGTCACTGTTTCTTTGGCGGAGAATGACGTTGCCCCATGGCACCACCGCACCGGCATCCCCATCACCCGTGTGGAGGGAGGGATCACTTCCCGTCCAGGTTAGGGGACAGGCTGTGTTCAGGGTTAGGTTTGGTTATGGTTGCGTGGACACTTTGGGAAACAACAGGAGCACGAAGAGAGGTATTGTAGGAATAGCCGCGGATAGTAGAATTTAGGTGGGGGGATTGATGGACGATGAGTTGTTACCAGTGCGACAGGTGCTGATGGCGACAAAAAGAAAGGGCCGCGGCAGTCAGTAATTGTCGAAGAGGTGCACTGAAAATCGCTGCTACTCACTAACTCATTCACTCGCTCAAATTGATGACCGGGAAACGGGCGTAGAGGCAACCGCATCTTAGGCCCTGTTTGGCAATGACTGTTCCGCTCCGTTTCGCTATGAAAAGTGAGCATTTCAAAACAGAAGGACCACCATTCTAGTATGGGAAACGCTCGCCAAACGGAACGGAACGGTCGTTGCCGAACAGGACCTTAAAGTTTCCTTTACGGATCGTTTGTTGCTGAAACTTGGGTTTTCCTGTGTGTAGCTGACTCCCGAGACGCACTTGCTGTACGATTTGGCTGCGCTGAAATATCTCGATCCCGTAGCCTGCAATACCCGAAATCAGAGAACCTCGCGGGGGCGGTAGCAGCTTCATATGGATTGGGGTGATAATGCTATTCCTAAGCACTGGCCTGCCTGATTGGGGGGGGGGGTGGTATCATAGTGGAGTCGGTGATCAAAGTTGTGCGTTCGAGAACCAGGAGCAAGTGATACCAGGATGCTTCTTACAATTGATGATTTGTTGGTTTTATCGCAATCAGCCACCTCCGTGAGTTGGGAGATATCGGTGAATAATGGTATCATACCTTTAGCTTACCTCCCCTTTTTGTACCAACATTTCCACCGCCACGAAGGGGCTATAAAATGACTATGATGTGGAGGAGGTTGGAAGTAAAAGCTGCTCGGCATACTCATAACCCACCCTGCATGTTCAGAACATTCTCGATAGCCGGAGGGGCGGCATATCCGATATTCCACTAATTTATCCGCACCCATCGGTCAGCCTGCTGATCTGGGCATCCGTTTTTTAGTCCACACGTTGATCCGCTCAATTTCCCGTCTGTCTATCCGTTTCTCGGCTCACGCATTTGACCGCTCGACTATCTGTCTGTCTGTCCATCCACTGATTTGTTCGCACCTCCGGTTGCCTGCGTGTCTGGCTATTCTCTTGTCAACCTGCTAGCCAACTATCCGCCCCTCTGTCCCGCCCTTAGTCTGCCTGTCGGACCAACCGAATTTGCCGTATTACCGGTTTCTCTGTTGTTCACCTACTCGTGCTTTGGTTTGTCATATCACGTCTCGGACCGGTATGGCAGTATGGCGGGGGGAGTACGGAAGGTAGAGCGAGCGCCGAAGGTAGAGCGAGCGTGGAAAGAAATTGGAGTGTCTTTGTTGGGTCTGTATTGTCATTTGTAAGTACGGAAGTAATATCGGCGACGGGAGTGGTATCGGTAACGGAGGTGGTACGGCAGCGAAAGTGATAACACGGGTGGAGGTAGCAAGGTGAAAGGAGAGTTCTTCGTAATACCTATTCTTTTTGTTCTTTTGTTCTCTCTTTTGTTTGCGATGGGAACAGCCTAAAGAAAGGGAAACTTGTGCGGATGAGATGAGAGGGGACCGCTACGAATATGTGTGGAGTTCGGTAGAGCTGGGTGACGCGAAGGGGAGAAGGCTTGAGGATCATTGGTTTATACTCCTGTCTTTTCCAGATGAGTTAGTTATTGACTTGAGTTGAGCAAGCAAGTTGATTAGAGTGCGAGTGTCTTGGAAATAGAAAGAAGCAGCGGCGAAAAATATTCTTACGATACCCCTCTTTTGATTGCTGCCTGAAGGTCTTGGCGTTTTGTTTTTGCCGAGTGATAGCTGGTGATCGCCGCGGTTGCGGTTTACTGGCTCCGGAAAGTCATAGCTGTTTGAAAAGGATGTTGTTCGATCTACTCGGAGAAAGGGTCCGGAGACGCGCCTTGGGCCAAGGCATCCACGGTATGAACCAAATGATTTATCCATCGGAAACGGTACGGGGCTCATAGGGACTGGGGAGAGCGGAGGATGCCCATTAGACGATTGATATATACTCATGGGTTTATGGTTTAGTTGGTTGAGTTGAGCGATTGAGCGGAGAGAACTTCCACACTTGCCCCAAAGTGGTGTGCTGGAGATCCGAGTCGTATTCTGTGGCATATCCAATTGCCGCCTTTGAAAGAACACAAGGGAAGAGAGGGTGAAGAGTGTCGAGTAAACTACTGTAGGAATCGAGATATGTTGAGAGAATGGTGGAAAAAGAGGATATATGGGAGATCGGATATTAGTTGTTTGAGAAATCAACGGGCTAACCGGAGCCAGGACAATACCGAACAACGATAATGAAACGAAACAGCGATCACTAAATGGGCTGTGAAAACTCAGCACAACCAAAAGCGGGGAAGGTCGCCGAGATCGCTCCGCAACTCGCTCTATCCAACGACTCTCTATCTCTCGCTCCACGACTCCAGCTAAACTAAACTAACTGACTGGAAACGACAGGAGTATAAATAAATGACGAAGTTCGCCTATCATATCCTTCCAGTGATCACCGCATACCGGTATCTCTAACACCCCCCACACTCATCTCCATTTCCTCTGTCCGCTCCTGTGCTATCAATCATGCTAACAAAAGAAAGAACCAACAATAGACTCCTCAAAGACTCTCAAATTGCCTTGTGTGCACCCATTGACTTCCGCGCTCCCGTGCTAACTATTGTTAATCACCGGCGCATACCGATGATCCGGCTACGGTGTTTGTGGCAAGGTGTTCATTAGGGAGACATGTCTGGTCGTTTGGGAATAGTGAGAATTGTGGCAACGTGGTACAATCACCAGAAAGGGGAGGAATGTGCGCAGGCAAGTGACAATGGAGAAAGTGAGAACTGAGCACTATGTATTGGTGATGTGATTGCGGTAGTAGACGTTGTAAGGTTTTGGAAAGGACAGGTGGAAGTTATGTAAAATGGTAGACATGATGTAATAGCGTCAGAACAGACACAGATAGTGAGTACGGTTATTTGTACTTAAGGGCAGCCATGGCCCCAGATGTTTTGAGATGAGTGAGCGGCAATACAGGATCAGATTCTACCCCAATTATTATTTTCATCACTAACAAAAGAAATACAGGAATAAAGACCCCCGACGGTCCATAGCTCCCTTGCCGTTCATATCCTCCTCCATCGGAAGCGCTTTTCCAATGAGCACAACGAGAATCTCCGCCCAAAAAAAGAGCCCAAATTCTAAAAGCTCAAGCCGCTCTTAACCGTCGGCCTAACAATCAATAACAGTTATATAAAATTTCTCTTATTTCAAATTCAAAAGTATGATACATTATCCACTGCCTAGTGTTGTTAGAATCGCCCATAAGATCTCTCGTTTTTGGTGTTTACTAGTTTGAATACTACATTCCGACTTGGCGGGTTGACTGCAGCTTGGTCGCTTCCACACAAAATCAAGCTAGAAACCAAGTCCTTAGGAGTTCTAGGATAGTCCAAACCCCAAACGCCTGTCGTCGGTTGCAGTAGTAAAGGTCAGGGAGAGGAGGTTAAGGGTCCTGCGGGTTTCCGAGTCGAGATGCGTGACTATATCGACAGCCATAATGCCGGTGGTACGGCGCTGGGTGTCTGAAATTGGCCCTCCCACAACCAAAACTAAGAGCGAACCAACCCTAGTATCAACCACGCAGTTCATGAAATACTCCATATAGCACTGTCTAGAATTGGCTCCTGTTTGATTGGATCGACTGTTTTTTCTTGGAGTGAGTGTGGGTTGAG